CGTTCTCGGTATCGTCGCGAGTACCCCGCACCACTGGTTCGTCACTCGTTCTTGGTGTGCCTGGTTACGAGGGTGTATAGTTGTCCATGTGTGTGTTATGTCATCCTCTATCGTTGTTGCTTCGGTAACTGATGGTAAATCTGTCGCGAACGCGATAGTGTAATCGCGGTGCGGGTGATGGTGTTATTATATTGTAGGTAGAGAGATGGCTGGAAAGAACAGAGGATAAAAAATGAAATACAGCGCCTGCCGTATTGCAGCGTAGAAAATCACCAACGGGTGTCATCTGCAAGCCATAAGGTCACAGTTCCTCATCAGCAGGCAATAGGTAACATTAGGCTAGTCCACCCCCTCGAGAAAATGCCTGGATACCGCAGTAATTGATGCGATGAGCCTTGCCACTGACTTTGATTTTGTTGTCATGAGCCGTTATTATATTGTTTCGCTTTCTATAATTGTATTTCCTCACAGTGTTTAACGCGTCTGGTAAGTCTACATATTTAGGTTTCATATGGTCGGCCTGGGCTGTTCCGTGTGTGTGACCCTATGGGCACTCGATGGACATCCTATTCACTCATACGCCACGAAGAAGGCGAGTGGAGACGGATGCAGACCTGCGCTGAGAGGCTAGTTCGAACCAGCGTAACGTCCCCGTCACGCCCGACTACCAGCTCCGGCGCCCTTCGTGCTAGCGGGGAACACGACTCACACGCCGGGCAGTAGCCACGGGCGCCCTCTTCTACTCACACTCATCGCAAGAGTTTTCACTCGGACCGCGAACCCGGAGCGCCCTCCTACTCAACCACTCGCGCTGCTCACCGGCGCCCTCCCTCTACTACAGACTGCGCCCCGGCTCAAGCCGGCGCCCTCGAAATCTACTCACCCGTCGGCCCGCAGCTAGCGCCACCGCGGCCCTCTCTTAACTCACACTCTCGCCTGCTACCCCGGCGCCGCGATCTTCGTATCTCAGGACTCAGCCATGCTAACCACTCAGGCGCCACTCTCTGACTCCAGACTCGCCTGCCTACCCCTGCCAGCCCACTCCTCCGGCTCTACTCACACTCACCCAACAGACATGTGAAGCGATCGCTACCAGGCCGCCACGCAATCTAACTACTACTACTACACCTCCGCTCTGCTACCCTGCGAATGCGGGCGCCTTTCTAACTACAGAGCTGCGCGCCCGCTAGAACTCAGAAGGCGCCCTCTCTACTTACAGGACTCCCCTGCTACCATGATGAGGCGCCCTCTCTACTCCACACTCGCACCCTGCTACCCGTGGCGCCGCTCTCGTACACCACTTACTCACCCCGCTACCCCGCCACGCCCTCTGTGCCAAGATTCGATCCTGATCCTATGGTACGCAGGCCCTCATGTGCAGAGCTGAGTCCGTGATCTTCGTGGCGCGGCCCCTCTGAGCAGTCAATCACCCTCTGTGGCGCCCAACTGACTGTGCAGGTCCGACCTAGCAGGGCGAGCGTGAGTAGAGAGGGCGCCGGTAGCGAGGTGAGTGTGAGTAGAGAGGGCGCCGGTAGCAGGGCGAGTGTGAGTAGAGAGGGCGCCGGTAGCGGGGTGAGTGTAAGTAGCGAGGGCGCCGGTAGCGGGGCGAGTCTGAGTAGAGAGGGCGCCGGTAGCAGGGCGAGCGTGAGTAGAGAGGGCGCCGGTAGCGAGGTGAGTGTGAGTAGAGAGGGCGCCGGTAGCAGGGCGAGTGTGAGTAGAGAGGGCGCCGGTAGCGGGGTGAGTGTGAGTAGAGAGGGCGCCGGTAGCAGGGCGAGCGTGAGTAGAGAGGGCGCCGGTAGCAGGGTGAGCGTGAGTAGAGAGGGCGCCGGTAGCGGGGTGAGTGTGAGTAGAGAGGGCGCCGGTAGTGGGGTGAGGGAGTTACCTGGTTCGACTAGCTTCTCAGCCAGGTCTTCCATCGTCTCCACCTCGCCTTCCTTCGGTGAGTGAATGATGATCATCGTTGCCCCGGCAACACACAGGAAGCAGCCGACCTTGCCTAATATGTTCAGCGTCTCGTTGAGAATCTTTGACGCCATTATCGCTCTGCAACAATCAAGCGTGGCGGCATCGCTCATACTGGGTATCCAGCATTTTCTAGGGCAAGCCTAATGTTACCTATGCAGCTATGAGGCAACTGTGACCTATGCTGCAATGACACCTGTTGGTGATTTTCTAGCTGAATAGCAGCTGCTGAACTTGTGAATTTCTCGCTGACTTTTCCAGCATCTCTCTCATACATATATACACCCATCACCGCACGGTCACTATCCGTGCGAAGCATTACCATGTTACCAGCACACGAGGATGACATAACACACACGTGAACATCACCCTGTAACCAGCACACAAGAACGAACGAACGCGTGCGGTACTCACGATACGAGAACGCTGAGCGCTCCTAGTGGTGTCACTAGCGTCGCCGGAGCAAACATGTACGCCACAAAGTTTGCCACCTCCCCGACGGCCACTGAAACAATGCAGCGGCGCCATCTATCAACCATCCACCTTCGTCCCATTAGACAATGACACGAAACGGTGTGACATGACCAAGCATTTCAGTTGTAGATTAGATCTAAGTGTAGGCAGGACAATGATTTATTTATTACTCGAGTCGTTTATATCTTTGGCTGTGAGACTGAAACATGAATGCACGACCTGTTCGAACAAGATCTGATCGTGAGTATGGGATGTTGCCAGAGACATGCGTGTAACACTACGGAATAGTCTCTTAGAAACTCACTTGTGAGGAAGCCAGCCCACCAGAGCCATTCTCTAAGGTAAGCATGCCCACCTTTACCTATTAATAAGACACACACACACACACACACACCAGTTATTGACATTATCAGTCTATTCCATGTTGATAGTCAAGTATAGCGATCTACTCCAGCATCTCTACCCATTAGCTAGTGTTTCACAGTGTCATTAATTGGGTAAAAGCACTTTGCCAATTACATTAGCAGACTGTGGACATTAGAGTAGGTGATCAAACTACGAAAAATTGTGGTTCTAAAGTATTTAAAATATTAAAACCTTCCCGTATTTATTAAAGGAATTTATTTTAATGGGCCAGGAAGGCTAGAGAAAAACAAGATGCAGTTTGAGGGTGACCTCATAATGTGACGTTTACCATGGTGAATCACGGCTAGCTTACACACGCGCGGTAGAAACACGTGGGATACATGCACCACTCACCAGCTCTGTGACCAGACGACTGCTGCACTTTAAGTAGACCCTTCTTCTTGATTATGAAGCTGGAACCTATTGATATTGAGAAGACCAGCACAAAACCATGTAAGCACTGTACAAACATGTTACATATTATAACTTCCAAGGAACACATATTACAGTCACACCAGTATAATCAGCTGATCTGCTTCATGTTACTGTCAGGCTGCTCTAGCCAATGACTGCTGCGATATGACATTCTTAAGATATTAGTTGACAATGCAGTGTCATGAAGTCGACGTTTTGTCGTGCGCGCATTAAAAACACATTACAAACTACTAGCATGGCCAGCCTACCAACAATACCCAATGAGCAGGGTTCTCCCTACGTTGCGCAAACAGGGCGCGCGCGCCCCGTTTGGGAAAACTCC